GAAACATTTTAACATGTAAACCAAAAGAAGGAAACAACATGGAACAATAAAACCATAGAAGAATAACACCAATAAATAGGAACAATAACAATAAGTCCACAGGAACTACAGTGGAGTTGGCACAGAGACACAGCAGGGATACATGGTAAAATATAGTCTTAAAACTAAAGTTAAAGTTACCCATTAATATAGCTGGAAAATAAGAAGGTTTTCACTTGGAGCCAGAAAGAAAAAAGAGTAGGCACCAAGCGTACTCATACCTCTTCAGGGAGCTCATTTACCAAATGTTATTTGGTAATTTTTTAAATATTCTGTACACCATTCTGAGAACACTGAGCTAATCAAACAGTATAGAAATGCCACAAAAAGATGGGGTGCCACAACCAAGAAGGCCCTTCTGTTGGATGCCACCCTCTTTACTTCCTTTGGAGTGGTCTCTCGGACAGGGACCCCAAAAGGACCTCAATTTTGATAGAAATACTGTATATCCCACCATAATGTGGAAGGGTGCAACCAGGGTGGCCTGAATCTCTTTGGCCTGATTTCCAGGTGCTGTGGACAGGTGACTTTTCTTCTCACATAATGCATCTTTTAGAGGTTGTTGCCTCAGATTCAGAAGCAAAGGGATTGGAATGCTTAGCCAAAACGCCAAGGCCCATCAACCCAGAGAGAGGACAGGGGGCCAAGGAGAACCAGGCTCCTTCTCAAGTCCTGTGGGAAAATTGGTTGGGCATTCAGAGATCAGTAGAAATGGATTAAAATGGAGGTCTTCAAGAAGAGGCTGGAGCACCCTCTGTCAGGAATGCTTCAACTCTAAATGTCCAGCATTGTACAGGGGAGGCTGGGCTAGGTGGCATCTCAGCCCCCTCTGATTCCATGCCGTTAGATCCCTTGGTGGGACAGAATGGTAGCCTTGGAGATCACATGAAGAGAAACGTTCCAAGCATCTTTCCATGAAAGGCTGCAAGGCTGTAAGTGAGCTCAGTCCATTTTTGTGTAACTCATCCCAAATAGGGGAAATTCAGCTAAAATCACAAATTGGTCTGGGTATTGGATTTGATAAGCCTCTCTGGGAAACAGTTTCTTCTTTCCTACTCTTTTCATGACCTTGCCTTATAGGTTGAAGCAGCCTCTCTAAGTCAGCAAATGGGATGGCTGAAGTAGCGGAGGTCAGCCACCTGCAGACAGATTAGTTACACACATCTAGCTGATAAAATTGATTTGTAAGTTATGGGCCACACACCTGCCTGCAAGAGAGTGGGCTTCCCGCAAGCAGTGAAATCTCTTCCGAATGGATGTTAGGGGCGGACAGAAGATCTTGCTCACAATCTGATATTGGCAGGGCTGGAGGGGAACATTAAATACAGGAAAGGAAGAAAGGTGCTTGAGTGGAGAGTAAATACTCCTAGATGCATGCATTTTCTGGGTCTTGCGTGGTTGAATTTGTATTACCCACATGAACTTTTAATAGAGTATTTCATTAAACAAAGCTTTATGCCCTGGAAAAAACCCAGTTGACTTTGCCAGCATCTGATAAATGTTTGCTGAGGAGTCCTCTGGAAAGTAGCTGACACCTGCTTTGTTTTGCTTCTGTGGTGGTTGTTGTGATAGGTTGGTTGATTGGTTGGTTGGTTATCGGAAAGTGCAGCCTGTTCTGAAGGAAACAACCTGTCTCTGCATGTCCTTTGGCTCCCAGTGGTACAACACATGCTAAACAGGCAGAAGGCACCAGGTTGGATGTAGGGCTGGGAAAGAATTCAGCCTGGAACCCTGGGGAGCCATCATAGCAATCCTGGGCTAGGTGGACCCATGGCCTCACTCCCCAGAGAACAGTTTCCTATGTTCCGATGACTCTTGACTGTACTCTTTGGCATGGACCTTCCTGGTTCAAGGACTGGTCCCTCAGGATGACATGTTGCTCAGCCCTAGGTCCGTGACCCATCTGTCAGCCTCCCACCCACCTGCTTGCTTCAGCGGTCATGGAAATGACCTCCAGTTGGGTGGTGGAGGGGATTCAGAACCCCAGGCAAGAGAAGACAAGTCCTTTGCTGGCCTGGATTGGACCTCAACTCAGAGAAAGAACTTAGAGGGTTGCACGGCTCACCTTAAATAGGAGGCCTCCCATGGGGGGTGCTGATGTTCCATTTCCAAGCTCGGTGACTCCTCCACACCTGGCACTGTCCAGATGTCCTGTACGATGGCCCTCTCTGTTCTTGAGCATCAGTCATACTGGTTGGGCTTGACTGGTATTGTGGAATAAAATGCTCAGAGGGCTTCAGGTTGTTTTTCCCCTGCTCAGCACCTGATTGTCGCACCCTTTGCTGCACCATTGACAATCAGGTGGTTATGATCCCTGTAAACAGCCCTGCTTGGGTGATCCATGTGTTCAAGCAATGATCAGGCGAGGCAGCTTTCCTCGCATGGACATGCCTGCTGATTGGGGCAGCCCCTTCTCCAGGTGTCCCACACCTTCTGAACTGATCTCAGTACAGGTATCTGGCAGTGAGAGGGTGCTTTCTGTACCTGCCAGCTTCCTTGAACAAGCTTCCATTTTGATTCTTTCCCATTTTGCTTTTCTCTGCATGTATTTATCTTACAACGTGAACAATTATCCTAGGAGCTCTCTGAATCCTTCCTATTCCTAGCTGAATACATTCTTTGCGGGGGCTGCCTGAGTGTGTTTGAAGAGCAATATTCAATCAAGGATGAGGGGATTTCTGATCCACACAAAGACACCTTCCCTCTGTGACCTAAATGTTGCTATTCAACTGGAAGAAAGGACCTCGTGCCTCATTGTAGCGGCTCCTTTGAAACAAGCACATAATGGTGTGTTTGCCAAGAAGAGTGCTGTGGGGAGCAGGGCTCAGTTATTTCATGAAAGGGAACTTTTCTTCTTTCTCCCAACCCAGATCGTGCCACTCAGGAAGGTTGGGCTTTCAGGCTTTTGCTCTTTGTCGTTGTGGAGGCTCTGGAGACCAGAGCGGGCTCTTGCTGGAGAGGTCCAGAGCAGGGGTACGGGATGCATCCCCAGCAGCAGAAGCCACACTTCAAGTTCTATGCCTCTCCCCTGCACACATGCACAATGGGCACAAATAAGCCCGTAACGGAAGAACAGCAGAACAATATGAAGGATGAGAATGCTTCAGTTTCAACGATCCACGTTCACTGCGTATAGAGATGTGAAGGCCACGGGGAGGGAGCAAGCAAGCAAGCTTTCAAACTCATCCCCATCCCAGTTTCCCAGTTTCTCCATCATCATCATCATCTTCATCATCAACATGATCATCATCTTGCTTCTGTTGCTGCTTTTAGGGGCAAGAACGGCGACTGTAGTGGCAATATCCACAGCGCCCTGGAACTAAGAGACAGGCATCCAGCCTGGTCCACAAAGGTTGGGCTTTGTAGAGCAAGTGAGGGCCCATTGCAACTGAAGCCCTTCTCTGCTTCTTCCTGTTCAGGAAGATCTAACAGTCAGCTTGGATGGGTGGAGGCAGGTGACATCCAGAAGGCCCCCCACTGAAAATCTACCACCGAGGGCCACTGCCCAAGACTTCATCAATTGGACTGGAATGCTCATCTTTCCATACTCCCCACATTCATTAGACACAGCTATCCCGATCATGGGCTTAATTGTGTTTTGTGGCTATTAGGGAAATTTTGAAATCAATTAATTAATAAGCAGTGTCTATTTCAACACCACAAATCTGGTTGAAAACCTGGAACATCAAACCCAGATTTTGAAATGCAAAGCACCCAAATCCCTCCATCACTTTAAGTCTCTTTCATGAGACAGTTTGCAATCTGAAAAAAAAATCTCTTGTAACCTGAAGTTATTTCCACCCAGAGAAGATTAGTTATTGGGTAGATTAAAATATAATAAAACACAGACATTTCTGTCCTGTGTATTAAGACATTTGCAACTTTTTGCAAGTTCTTATTACAAAGCACACCAAAGGGAATTCCCATCCACCCCTGGCTGACTCCCACAGAGAAATTTTATCCATCTTTGTAGGAAACCCTTTTGTTCAGCTCTTGTCACCTTCACCTGTTATGCCTACCACACAAGCTAGCCAAATATCCAATCTCCAGTAGGAAAACACATCCCAAACCCCGGGGGGGGGGGGGGAAGGGAGCTGCTGCAGCAGCTTAAAGAATGCTTGTGGTAGAATGATGAGATCCAATTTCACAATCATTTGTCTGTCAGTTGAGTGCCTCAAATAGTTGATGAGTAATTGGACTCCCTGCATGGAAACAGGGCTCTGTGATTTAAGACCAGCTAATATACCCCCCATAAAATGACTCCATTATGAAAGTGGTATTGATTAACTTCCTTCTGTATGCTCGGGCCATAAATATGCCCTCCTTGGATTGTCATGCAGTTGATCAAAAGGCAAAGTGGCTAATCCTTCAAACATCAGTTGCATTTTTTGCATTTGTTCTGGAGGACACAGGGTGACCTAGATTTGAGATGTAGCTTCAAGTTGTGCCCCAGGGCTGGTTTGTATGGGCGGTGGGAGAGACCCTCTCAGAGATATTCAAGGCTCTTTCCTTGGGTTTTCCACTTCAAAAGGGTAAATCTCTGGTTCTTCTACTTAAGGAGCTATAGGAGAAAATAGGTGGATGGCACTCTACCCAAGAGCTCAAGGCCAAAGCAGGCGTTATAGTGAATGAACAGCTACGGTGGGAAAATGGCAGCTGTGTGTCTGGGATTCCACATTTATGGCTTGCTGGAAAAGCATGCCCGTCTTTTGAGGCTGCAATGCTCCACCAACAGCAGCAAAGGATGTGGGATTGACAGAATTGCGGTTGGGTGAACTTGGAACATTGTGATGTCAAGAGGTCAACCAGAAATTCTATGGAAGGAGAATAGAAAAATTGACCTACAGATATTTTGGGCTTCAACTCCCAATGTGAAGTCTTGGTGTGAAATCTCAACAGCCAAAAATCTCAAATGAGTACCCAACATCTCAAAATCATACCTTTTCCCCCCCATCTTACAGGTTGACAGCCAAGGCAGTGGCTGTCTTGCTACCCATCTTGGGAAGCTCATGGGTCTTTGGCGTCCTGGCTGTCAATGTCCACGCGTTGGTGTTCCAGTACATGTTTGCCTTATTCAACTCCTTGCAAGTAAGTTCTTGTATTGCATTTAAGCTGCAGAGGGGCCAAAACGCACATCATGGAACATTCCGTGTTTTTCAGTGAGCCCTCGATCAGCATTTTCCATTTTTACTGTTGCTTTTCCTCTGACCTAGATTTGTGTTCTAGTCCCAACTCGGCCATGATGCTCAGAAGGTGATGCTGAGCCAGTCACTTACACTTAGCCTATTCTGCCTGATGGGTTTGTTGCAGTAAGGACACAATGAACTGGAGGAAGCTTGTGTAAGCTTTGGGTCCCACCCAAAAGGAACCCAAAGGAAAAAAAAGATAAGATGGAAATATAATGTAGCAACAATTGTAGCATCACCCGTTGTGCCACTCAGGCATCATGTGCTTCATCTCCAACGTCCCTTCTATGGCTTGAGTCGTGATGAGCCCTGCTGGGACCCTGAGAGTTGCCCAAGGTTTCCCGATATTGTCCTGGGCCTGTAGATGGAGGCTGAAGGCCCAGTGCAGGACCGCTGCCTGATAGAGGTCAAGTCCCAGGGCACTGGCAACTCCTTAAGAGTGCCGGGAGCTGACAGTGGGCTTCTCAAGAGGCAGTCCAGACAGAACCCAGTCCTCTTGTTCCTCCCTAGGTTGAAGAGCCAGCCTAGTGTTTCAGCAGAATGGGTGGGGTGTCTCCTCTCCCCAAAGAAAGCAAGGAGAGGTTCTTCCCTTGTTACTCATGGTTTCCATCAGTGCTAAAGACGTTCTCACCTGCCTATGGGCATGGTTCCCAGAAGTCTATAGGAGAACATAGCCCTCATGTCCCACATTCTAGAAGTACAGGGAAGGGTTGAGTGCCCGGGGCTGTGACAGAACTGATCTCTCCCACCAGTAGAAGCAATCAGGATCTTTTAATCCCTTTATTGATTTCCTCTTCCCAAATCGTCCCAGGTGGGCATCAGTGTACCCAGGGCAAGGCAGACTGAAGTCCAGATAGTGGGAATTCTATCCAGTTGACCTTGGAAGAGTGTCACAGAAAATTAGGCGTTATTGTCTGTCCAAAACTTGATTGGAGGGCCATGTTTCCCCTCCTTGCCATTCAACTAGAAGCAAAGTCACACTTGTCTGTCACTTTCTGTCACTTGCCAGTCTGCCTACTTGAGGAGAGGAATCAGGCAACCCTTTCTAACATTCTATTATATGAGTTCCGCAGGTCGTTCTGCAATGCATGAATAATGGTATAACAATAAGATAAAAATCAGCATATTTCTATGTTTTTCTTATTTCTCCTTACCTTTTAGGGGTTCTTCATCTTCCTGTTTCACTGTCTCCTGAACTCAGAGGTACGTTTCCATGTAGTGCAGTAAAAACCAAGAGCACTTATATATCTGCATTTATTTCTTTAGCTGAATAATATGACAAGCTAAAATCTGGCTATACACCAGCTGCAATGCCAAAGGAGCGGCACCATTTAATGATGACCCTTCTGTGGAGCAGGCCTGTTGTTTTGCTCAGCAGCATGCAAGCCTAATGCACAGAGTTTTTAGCTTCAGCTTCTGCCTCTGCAATTTATGGCATCTTCAGAAAAGTGGATGGCTGGGCTGCCATCAAGAGCCCTAGGTGTAAAACCAGCAGCTGATGTTTGGGCTTGATGGTCATCCACACTGGAGCAATCAGGCTTTGATTGTGTCTGGTTAGATCTGAGTCTGGCGAGATGGGCGAGCTTGCTGGGCCTGCCTGTGGCTGGAGAATCGAAGAGTTGCGGGGTTCTGTGAAAGGTCAGAAGTTGGCTGTGAAGGCATAGCAATGATGGAGGGACAGACCTGCCCATTCCAATTTCTTCCAGTTTTAACATCCCATGTTCTTTCTAGCTCAGATGTGAAGGAATGTATGACTTGGGGTAAATCCTCATAATAATCCAGTCGGAACAAATTGTCATCTGTGACCAGGCAGGGGTTGTGTCACACCAAGCCATGTGAGTGGCAGATTGGATTGGTCCCCCTCTCTGCCTCTAGCATGGCTTCCTGGCAGATCCTGAAGAGGACTTTGAAGGAAGTTGGCGTGGATGACACCTCTTCCTTCCTCCCTGTCCTGACAGGAGGATCCAGGCGTAAGGGCCAAGGTAGCGCAATGGTTGGCCACTGGCCAAATGACCTGGGCTATCACGGCCATTTTGGCCCCAGCTGAGCTGAAGCCCCAAGCCTCCGGAAAGCACCCGGCTGAGTCGCACCGCAGAGTCTTCTTCTATCCCTTCAAGACGTTTTGCCTGGACCAAGCTGTGCGGCTCCTCCCAGGCTGCAGCCTCTCTCAATTAATGCTGCAACGCTATTAAAGACCCCACTCGTACACAGTTGTCCCCGTGAAGTGTATTAATATACATATTATATTAATCTATTACATTAAATTGGAGCTATTGCTAAATGCATCTCATTGTGTGTTTTAGACTATGAGCTAATTGGGCTCTATTTGACTCCAAAACCCAATTAGTAAAGTGTATTTTACAAGCCAAGGAGGATTGACTAAATTAACGATGGGGACTTGGAAATCTATCCCAGGGTGAGCAAGTTCTGTCACAGCATTGGGATTCCATTTCTTGCCTGCTTTTACAAGCAGTAGCCGTCAGGGCTGGATGGGAAAGTGAGTTGTAAAAAAAGAAGGGAGCAGTTTTGATTGCCTTGAGGGTCTGGCTGTGCTGGGAGCGTGTGCCATTTCATCTCCCCGCTTTAGATTTTTGCAGTTTGCCAAACAAGGAAGACAGAAGACAGGAGACAAATCGACACAGGATAGTAATCCTAGCTTTAGTGTAGAGATGAGAAAATAAAATTGTATGTTGGTTTCTGTTGACAATATGTCTTACCTTAGGGCAGAGCTACTGAAATAATTTAAGGAGTCCTTAGTGTATTGCTCCTATTCTAACATCTCCCCCCACTCCCATTATCTAAATATCTGCAGTTATTTCTAGCCTGGGTTTACAGGTGCAGCCCTCTCCAAGTGGCATAAAAGATAAAAACTGCATGAAGTGAATACAATAAAAGGCCATAAAAACAGTCAAAAAAATCCACAGAAACAGGGATTGCCGATTCAGGTCAACGGAACCAACCATATGGAGTAGGCAGAGAGGACAGATGGGTCTTTATGACTTTTCTGAATATCAGTAAAGAAAGGGCTGCATGAGCCTCAGATGGCAATTGATTCCAGAGGTTTGGGGCCAATGCTGAGAAGACCTTGGCCTGGTCAGGAATCTACAAGGTCTAGGTTCTTTGCTGGCCAAAACCAGCCCTATTCCAGGAAGAGAGCAGGAATCTGGGCAAGGACAATCCACCAGCAGCCTCACAAGGCAGCCCCGTGTCCAACTCAAGGAGTCCAATAGAGCAAGGGCTAGAAAACCAGGGGAGATTCAAGACACGTCTAGAGCTGCAAAACGGAGGCTGTTCCAGCAAGTCTCATGACCTGCAGTTGCGCTTTCTATACCTTAGTTTCCAGAGCTCCATCCAACCCTCTTTGTAGCCTCCTGGCTGACGTCTTGTGCATAAAGAGGGGCTTTCTCATGAGGAGACTCCCTCATCTAGTGGGACCTCTTTCATCTGGCCAAGTCCTCGCCTGCACCTTTACTTGCAGGTGCTCTCAGGTGCAAAGTGTTGGCTTAGCATCCCCCTCTGCCTCAGGAACCAGGCCCTCCGCCTGTTGGGGCAGCAGAACTGAAGCCACTCACCCAGAGTGTCCATTTGGGCAGTCCTGTGGTCCTCAAGAGCAGCCTTTTCCCTGGGGTCATCTGGTCCTGAGGTTGCTGGCTTATCTTCTAATGAGGAGTCATGGCAAGCACAGTGTATTTGATTAGCAGATGGTTGCAGGCAGACACTGGGGAAGACAATGGCCTCTGTGCCCGATTGTGGGCTTTGCACTGGAGGAATCAGGAAGCTGGGAGAGACGGCTGGGTCTGATGCGTCAGACCAAGTGTGCTTATGCTGATGACATCGGTAGGCAGAGCCAGGCAAACAGGCAGGTCAATGGCCCCAGGTCAGGAGGTGAGTTCGATTGCACCATATGGCTGGGGGAGTGGAAAGTGGGAAACATGCCTCCAGGTGTCTGGTTATTGTCTAGACCCATTTCCATGCTGGGCTGTTGTTCTTTTCGACTAGGGATGTCTGAGCATGTCATTTCATTCCTGCCAGGGATCTCAAACGTGAGCCAAGTAAAATCCATGATTTCACCAGCTTGCATTCACACCCAAAAGTGTGAATTCCCCCTCCAACTGACACTTGCATGTTTTAGCTATGGGGGAACTGTCTGCTTGAGGGCACATGCTTAGAACAGTTTGTGTTTTTACAAATGTGCACTTTCCTTGTTGGTGGCATAAAAAAACGCTTGCATTTTGAGGTGAGAATGGCGCACACGCTGGTGAACTGCTCGTTCTCTCCCTCTCATTTTTGGCACTGCGCACGTTTGCGCCATCTCAGCACAATGCACAGGGCTGGTTCATTGCACGCATCAGCAACACCAAGTCTCATTAGCATCTGAAGCAGCGCTGTCCAAGAATCACATGGAAGCCGTCACCTCGTTTTCGTTGTGCTGGTCACATGACTCTGCCGAGATTCCACCGGCAATGACTTTGGATGACAGAAAACAACACGTCTCCTGGATGCGCTCTGTGCTTGATGAGCCACCACGGAGCGTATGAACTGATGCTGCCACCCTAGTTGGAAAGCTTTGCGTCTGACAGAGTAGGAAGGTTCTAGTGGTGTGTGGTACATGGTCACCGCGGGATATATCAGGACACACACACACAATTAATGGCAACTAGTCCTATCCATCCATCCATCCATCCATCCACCCACCCATAAAACAAGTAGAAGGTTGTTAGTGCTAATCTTACTTGTGGGCCTCCCATTATGGCATCCAGTTGATCAAGGTGGGAACAGAATGCTGGACTAGAAAGGCTATCGGCCTGATCTAGCCTGGCTAAAATTTCCCGTGTTCTCAAGAGCTGGAAGGGCATGGCTTCTGAACTAAAGAATTCCACATGGCTGCAGCAGCCTGGAATTCTCTAACCGTGCCTTCTTTTTCTTCTCCTCAAGGTTAGAGCTGCCTTTAAGCACAAAACCAAGGTGTGGTCGCTCACCAGCAGTTCCATCCGCAACATCAACGTGAAGCCTTTCAACTCAGATATTGTAAGTCTTCCTAAAATTCTTAAGTCTTCATCATGATTAGCGATGGGGGAGACATTAAATTAGTTAGCATTTCAATGCAAACCTACTCAGTTTTGCACTTTCAAATCACTATGCAAATAGAAGCTCAGTCATCCCTCAAAATTGGCAGTTCTTAAAATTTTGCAATGCAATTCTCCAATCTAATAATGCATAAGAAATGCATATTTTAGGGGAAATCACATAGACAATGGCTTTATGATAGGGAAATTGCTTCCGAAATGTATATTAAGTGAAAATGCATACAGAACTGCATATATTAGGGGGACTGTGCATTTGTTTGAGGACCTCTTATCCTCACTCTTTAGGGATGACTGCCAAAATCATGAGAATTAGAAAGCGTCTTCTCAGTGCAGATGTACCTAGAAACCGCAGCACAGTTTGTGCTGATTATGGATGCTTTGGTCTACCGACCATGGACAGCTCCTTCAGTCCAGAGCTTTTCCATTGGTGGCACCTCAGAAACATGGGGTTTCCACAGAAACAGATTGGTTATGGCAGCTTATGCCCCATTGTCGTTGTGCTGGAAGAGGGACCATGGAGAAAGAACCTATGTTCAGTGCTCAGCTGCCATAGCCAATGAGCCATTTCAGCTAACGGAACAGATACTGTGCCCAAGACTTTACGGAGGGGTTCCTAGTCAGTATATTTATGATATTCATTCCACGCATCTCTGGATCTTTTGTGCAAAGAATCCAAGGCCACTCACGTAAATCTCCTCTTCCTCTCCATTGGAACAAGCTGCCACCGATCCTCAGTCTTTCTCTCATCTTGGCTACCACTTGTCTGCTTGGCAGACACAGAGCTGGTGGACAAGGGGCCCCCACCTCCTGCCCTCCTCTCACCTGCGCCACCGCCTGGGCCAGAAGGAGAGGCAGGCTGAGTGCAGGGCTATTGCCCCATCCAAAGGTCTTGAGAGCATTTCCTAGCCCTTGTCCAGCCGTACCTGTTTGCTATCCTGATAAATAGCAGGTGCACAAGAAGATGGGGGTTGGAGGAGAGAGCTGGTGGTCCTCAGTTGGTCTGACATCCTCCAGATCAGGGAAGGATGCTGTTCCCATGAGGCTTAGTGGCCAGAATGCTTGACTAGGACTGGGGAGAGCCAAGATCCAGTCCCCACTGAGCCTGTGAGGTAGGTGAAGTGGAGAATCAGGTTCTGACCTCGAGTCACCTCTGAGCTTCCTCAGAAAGCTGCAGCGAGCACTGAGCAAGGTGGAGTCATAGGCACAACCGAGGGCTTCCATGCTCTTTTCCTGGAACTCCCTGCCTGTCTGCTTCAGGTTTATGTATTTATTTATGCTGCACAGGTGCACCTTGATGTTCCCAGCACTATACGGAAAAACACACACAATAAAATATATACAGAGCAGGAAACAATAAATATCCATAAAGTATGGCCATAAAAGCAGTCCAACACAGCAATGCTGCATCCAGTCGCTGGCCCGGGAAATCCCGTGGGAACCGTGGCATTTTCAAGAGGTGTCCTTCCCCTCAACTGCATGCAGGCGAGTGCTCCAAGAGGTCGGCGCCTCTGCTGGAAATGCCCTTGCAATATGATTCTCTCTGTGTCTTTCCTACTCCCTCTTTCCAGATAACTGGGAACAAGCCCGGAACAACTCCTACTAAAAGCAACACTTGGGAGAAGAGTAGCAATTCAGCGCACAGGATTGACCTTTCAGCAGTCTGACACCCACCCCTAATAGCCCTCCTTTTGGGGAACCCAACTATACTTTTAGGACCGTTTGACTTGGTACCTGCTCACCCCTTATCTTCTCAGAACTTGTGCCAGTAGGAACCGCTCCGTTAATCGCCACCTGCTCAATTGGAATAGATCTATTTGTGCCCCGTTTGCACTGGATTGACTCACTCCTTGCAGTGTTCTTTTCGTGTCACAATCCACCGCTCAGCCATTAGGAACGGCTGAGGAATAGCTGGTGACAGCACAGAGTGGATGGTCTGTAAACAGCGGCAGAGACGCTAAGCGTGGAGAAACAATTGTGCTGCCTCTGTCACGGGACCGAGGAAGGTCAGAGACAGCTCAAGAAAGAACAATCACGGCATGCTTTCTGCCTTGCAAAGCCAAGGTTTCTTGCCAGCAGTGTTGAAACGGGGCTGGTTTTGTCCAGCCTGGCACTCACCATCTACACTAAATAGCTGGAGAGATCCAATTATCCAGAGGAAATGTAGCCAGACAAAAAACACCCAGCCAACAGCCATTTCATTCGGCCATCGTATGAAAAGCAAAGCCAGAGGGACAATTAGAATTGAGATCAAGCACGCTTCCCCGCCATGCATTGGCCCTGGGACCAAGGGAAACAGCAGCTGAGGAGTCATGTGCGTGGCTTCCACATCTGCTCGGATCTTGCCATCGTGGTTCCAACGGCTGTTACGATCCAGCAGCCACCTGCAGCATCGATTCATCAGGGACTTATTCACCTCTGCTGGAAATACCTTTCAGTGGGATCCAGATGTCTGCCACCTTTCCGATGGGAATTAGCCAGTGCCTGCCAAGAGCTTTTGCAGACTGAGCTGAGCCACAGGATTTTGGAAAGTCTAACGTGTCTGGCTCTGGGACTTCCGCACCTCTGTCCCCCCAAGCAGAGTGTGATGCCGAAAGCCAAACAGGACTGTGCCCACCCTCTGCCTTCAAAATAAATGAACAAAAACACTTCTGCACGAGTCGACAGCAAGAAAAAACCACAAACACTGTGAAGCCATCAGTCAGACTGCAGCTGGGATTCTGCGTGATTACCCATCGACACCATTTTTCTTTGCAAAAACATTTCTTTGCTAATAAGCAAAGCTTCAGTCCCTTTAGTCATGCAGCAATGGGAGAAAGGGGAAAGCAACACCTGTTTCAACTCTACAAATGGGTCTGCTATCCTTCTTTATGGGCTTTGCTGTTAGGGTTTTGTTTCTGATAAAACTCCAGATGTTTTCTAGGCGCCATCTCAGCCAAACTTGCATGTTCCATGGAAGTGAGTGGGAGTGTTGGGTGCTGCAGTTTGTACCTGGTACAGAAGGAAGGAGCTTCTGCAGTCGGGAAAGCACTTTGGGTGCACAGGGTCCCAGTTTTGGTGCCTGGCATCACCAGGTCGGGATCTCCAGGAGCTGTAACTCTGGGGAGTCTCAGCCAATCTGCAAAAGGGGGCTTTGCCCAGCACAATCCTGATTGGAAAGCCCCCATGCCTGTTATTCTCAGTGGGAGGAAACCCCCCATGAGAGACACGTGTCAACAGAATGACCCAGAGTAGATCTGTCACTTGCTACCCTACGTTATTGTTCCCCCACAGTCCAATGCTAGGGATGTCAGATAAATCCACAAGGAATCCAAAGGCATTTGGATTTCTGTAACGGTGCCCCACAGATCCTGCAGTGGAGGGACTGCTCCCAAATTGCACAGATCCTACAAATTTGTAGGCTTATTTTTCCCTTTCCATAATTTTACTCAAATGCAATTGTAGAAAAATAGGACAAAATGAAAATGAAAATGGGTATTTCTCTCATAGACTAAAGTATGAAAATATTGGGGAGGGATTTGTTTGGAGGGATTTATGCATTTTGGGAAGTGCAAATATATATGAATGTGTTTGCACAAAATCCCGTTCCAACAATGTGTGGACAACAGAATGGAAACTATCTGCAAATCTACAAAACAAAGTTTGTGCATCTGTGTCAATTGATGGCTTACGGGTGACAGAGATCTAATGCTCCTCCTTGGAAGGCCACACCATCCATTGCAATGGATACCACCTGTCCAGAGTGATTCACGTGTCCAGTTGTATGTGTAATACACTTAATCACTTGTTTTGAGTTAAACGTGGCATTTTTCTTAATTTAATACAGAATGAACCTACAATAAAATGTATAACCATACAAGTTCCAGTTTGCAACTGATTTCTCAACTGTCAGTTTCCCAGACTATCTCCAGAGCATTCTGTTCAGACCGCCATGGCAGGGCAGACAATATAATCTGCCCACTTTATTCACCGAAGTCGATGCAAACTCCAGTTATTTGAAAGCAGCCTCCCCCTGCCTCTCTCTCACCCACTCACCAGGATGCAGGAAAATCTGTTTAGATTAGAGATGAAGCCAATTTTCAGAACGAGTCAGCTTCCTGGTCAAAATTGGCCCATTTTTCTTGCTCACCTGCGTCAATATATTGCACATTTCCTATTAAGTTCAGACTTGATTGTGCACTTTGGAGCATGTGCAGACCGCATCTAACGAATGGCATTTATGTACATGTGATGAGTTCATTGGTTTAACCCTTGAACGATCTGGTCCTGTGGGCCCCTCTCCTCTCCTCGATGTGCTGTTGATGGCAAATGCACGTTCCCTCATGCAGGTAGGCCGTGCAACAGCAAGAAAGCACGAAGGGGGCGCATAACATGGTGAAGCATGGGATCGTGCCATGCGAGGGGATTCCAAAGCACTCTGATATTGCGCATGCACCACAGTCTCCTAGACAAGCTCTGAGACCTCATATCACAGGCAAACACGCTTCTAAAAGAGAGCTGAGTTTGCTGCTTTCGTGAGGAAATGCAGGTTCACTCAGGGTGAGTTTGCCCAGCATAACTGCTCTGTGGGACAGATTGATTCTGGATGGGGCATCTTTACGTCCCAGTGCACTGCAGCCAGCACATTCCTGATCATAGTGAGAGGGTCAGGGATGTCTTCTCAACTCGTTGTGCCTTGTCTTGTCTTGTCTTCACCTGCAAATTCTCCCTTCCTTCCTCTTTTGGTATTACCCGTAATTCAGCAGTATAGTTACACTGATGCAAATGGCAGTCACGGTGGCTTGCAAGCTCAGGTTCCCAAAAGCAAAGCTAGCTGTGCTGGCCATGAGATAAAAATAGTAATAAAGACACCAAATACGAGCTCAAAAGCCACAGTAGTGTCACACCTTTACTGAGCTATTTCAAAGGTCAATAAAAATGTGCAAGATTCCCAAAACTCCCCACATTCCCAAAACTCCCAAATTCCCAATGTGCAATTCCCAAAACTCTTCATCAAGACAAGGAAGGAAGGAAGGAAGGAAGGAAGGAAGGAAGGAAGGAAGGAAGGAAGGAAGGAAGGGTCATCACTTTTGTGTGGAGCTCATGGTATCTGTGAGCTTGCAAACTCTGGTTTGAAGAAACCAAGGTTAGAAGATATTATTTCAGGCCTCATTATGCTTCATGAGTCACTCTGAAAAGGGAAGAAAGGGAAAACTTGGAAAAATTGCGGGGATGAAAGCGCCAACTTCAGTGGTGAATCACAGAAAAGCACAGTTGGAAGAGGCCAGAAGGCCATTGGGTCCAACCCCCTGCTCAGTGTATTTAATCCCCAAGCTAAACCTCTCAGGTTACCGCAGCAATGGAATATCATGAGTGTTACACCCGCCTTTAGCAGTTCTCTGCTTTCCCCCCCTTGAATTTATGGCCACACGGTGAAGTGACGGCTGCATTCTCATCAACTATTTCAGTGATGTCTACTTCCGAGTAGACGTGCATCGGCTTGTTCTGCAAGGAAAGCAAGTGCCATGCCTTGCCTTGCCTGCACATTTTTAATAACATCTCTACCAAAGAATAAGAATTCATTATCCAATAAAGAATAACTTTATTAAATACCATTTGATGTTTTGGAGTTTGAAAACACTGGAGTAATAACTTTCCTTTGTGTACTTTTTTTTTTAAAGGCTGCTCTTATCTTTATCTTCGCTTCTTTGTTTCTCCAGCTTCTGCTGTGCTCTCTGTGTGTACATAGACCGTGAGTAATCTGTAAATGTTGCTTTTTCATCTCTCACTGTTCATCAGCCTGGACTTTATTTATTTATCACTCTTGCAGAATGCAGTAAATATACCAAAACCACCCCTCCCAAATGCTTAAACAACTGTTAAAATCAACTGCACCCTTACAGCCTTTCCTAGCTGTGCCCCTTTCCTGAATATTCCCCCTTTTTCACATGACTTGTAAGGTTTGTGACTTTCTGATGCATCTTCAAAGCAGCAGCAACCTGAAACGGGCTCCCACCCTGTTCCTCCTTTCCTTTTTGACCATTGCATCATTGACTGGACCTTCTCTGCTTTTTGACTTCTCGTCATGCTCCTTCTTCACTTTAACAGTATTAAACTTCTTTAAATATATCTGTATGACTTTACTACTCAACTTTCCACGTGTCATCTTCCTTGCTTTCATCAGTCTTTGAGCCATCAAGAGGGCAGAGAGAATCTGTTAACACTGACTGTTGGTTAATTTCCATGAAGCAGGTAAATAATTTAAAAGATCATGCATATCATTGAATATTAAAGGCTGCTCCTGTACAAGAAGTATCTGCATAATAACTTCCTTCCAGAAAGAGGCAGCAGCTGTACGTGGCCAAAGCATATGTCCAAATGGAGAAGGAGATGCACCGCTAGCAACTAAGCGGATGGGAGAGGCCCCTGTTAAAGAGAGGCTGCCGTGTAGAACAGACGCGACATGAAGGGCTTCGCTGAGTGAGAGGCACCCCAAGATCCACGGGCGCAACATGTGCAGACGGCAAAGGGGCGGAGTGGAGCTGGGTCAACACAGGTTCCCATCCCAGCCTGTGACAGAAGAGGAGTTGTTATCGCTTCCGTTGTGGAACCGGTTCCCAGCTGGTTTTCCTTCCAAGCACAGAGTAGATCCACACCCGTTTAGCTTGAGTGTAGCGGGTGCCCCATGTGCCTTCAGACCCTGTCCTTGGACCATATTTTCATGACCAAAAGTACGATGATGTTGCGGATAGGAATGTCACTTCTTCACACAGTGCAGAGTTGAACTATGGCATTCCCTTCCACAAGAAGTAGTGAAGACCACCCATTTGGGTGGCTTTTAGAAAGGACTGGATAAACTCACAGTCCAGATGGCTGTATGCTGCCTTCACTATCTGAGGCAGGATGCCTTTGATGCTGGTGGTTCCTGGAGAACATAAGCTGCTGCGGAACACAGCTCTGCTTGTGCATTGCCATGTTCAGCTTGTTGGCTACTGTGGACCGCCAGTCCATTCATCAGGGCTCTTCTTATGGCAGTTCTCAGGGTGTTCAAGAATTTCATTTGCATTCACAAGCCATGTGAACATGTTTGATTGGCAAACCCACCTGGAAGCAGGAGAGCATGCTCTCTGAACACCTTTGACAATTTTTGAACTGGCATTTACATTCAAAAAATGTGCCTTTCATGCTTCACTCTAGGGGGAAAGGGAAGTGCATGGTTTCTATACACCTCTTAAATATACCTTTTCACCATTCAAAATGTACTCTTTCCCCCTTGGAACATAATGGGAAAATAGTATAACTGGGGCACAAGAAGCAGGGGAGCTGATCTTGAAATGTGTTCAGAGAATCTTGGCAATCGGGCAGGTGCTTATTTGCTCATCCCTATTTGGTGATGGGTTCTCTAGAAGGAAGGGCAATCACCCCATGGCTGAACACATGCTTTGCATGGGGAAGGCCCCAAGTCTGGGGAAAAAGAACAGCAATGGATCCTTGGAGAGCTGCTGAGCATCACCCTTGAGAAGTCAGATGGAGAGCTATGTACCTATGCTCTGGCATAATATAACATTGATTTTCTTAGAGAATTATGTGCTAGGTACATGGGTTGGATGTACATTCTCTTCCAATGAGCAGAGATGCCGTCAGTATCCCAACTGATTATGGATTATCCTCACAATGTAAAGCTCATAGCAGATGGCCCATTAAGGCTGGGATCAAATTATAGGGCACAGTTTTCTAACGTGACATCCAGAAATTGCTCGGGGAATGGACATTCCCCCTCCACAGCCAAGGAGCCTGTTCATCAAGGCAGCTGCTAAGAGACCACTTCTTGTAAAGCAGACAATTAGCCAGGTGGTCAGATGACCATTAGTGGCATAAATGTCATATCAGGTTCGAACCAGACCTTCTGTGGAGGGACAGGCAGAGGAAGCAAACGGTCTTCCACCAGACAATTCTGGCATTTGTCCCAGGTGCTCCCATGAACCCATTGTCATAATATTTGATTACTTCGCAAGTCTTAGTGTAACAGCGAGGAACGAGTCAGAGCAAGACCTGAGAGAGCAGAGTGGTGTGCCTGGAACTGTAACTGAATATTAGGAACAAGTGAAGTTTGGGTGGAAGTTGTGTCAAGAGTTTAATCATCGGCAGTCATCATGCAGGAGCTGGGAGGTGGGGAGCAGGCACTAAGCCGAGACTCAGAAGACTTTGAGCCTCTGCTGTTGATCAGGCTGAGTCTCTACTTCTGTAGATCTTTATTGTTCTCCCTGCAGAAATCTGCCCTGGTTTCCTCTGTGGAGGCTGCTTATTCCCTTACCACCTTTTAATAATTCTGACCTTATGGTGGATAGTGCTCTGGAGTGGTCTTGAAGTACTGCTTCAGCCCACAGATCTCCAGGTATGGGATGCCATAGAAAAGTAATCAATCAATCATTCAATCAAAATAAAAAGCCATGTAAGAGGTAATTATCTCCCTGAGGTCTGCTCAAATGCCTTCACACTGTATGGCACAAATGAAGTTCCTCATTAGGTACACTTAATTTTGTTCTTCTTGTTGTTAATTGCATTGCACTTCTGCCCAGAATTCTATTTATTTATGGTTTGTGAGCCGCCCTGAGCCTTCGGCGAATGGGGCAGCATAGAAGTCCCCTAAATAAATTAATTAAATAAATAAATAGGGTCACTGGGCTCCATTCCTGGCCCAAGGGAAACCGTCAGCTGCTTCGAGCGCAATTGGCTCATAGAAAGGTGGGTCACAAATATGAAAGCCAGTCTTTCCAAATCTGGCATCCTCCAGACCCGTCCCTGAAGGCCGATCATGGTGTCTGGAGCTGACCGAAGTTGTAGTCCAAAGCATCTGGAAGGGAAGGCAGCATCCTA